AAGAGGCAGAGGATAGTGGTTGAGACCGAGGGGCCTTCGAGGAGTGAACCCGTGTTGGCGGTGTCCGAACCGGACGGGGGTACTAGTTTCGGCGTGGAAACCGTACCTTCGGTCGTGGAGATGGCTTCCTTGGAAAAGGGGCAAAGCTCGGAGGCCGCTGCGATCATTCCGAGTGGACCATCGACTTTGCAATAGGCTCGTGCTCTCTCTTTGGCCAGCGAGAGGGCAAAAAGCGTGGTTGTGGATGACTACGAATCTGGTTCAGATATTGACCCCGAGGACATAAGAATGTTTGAGGTGGGGTTCACTCGGGTTGAGGCGGGAACGGACAGTTCCTCTCGCGTGATATAGATTTCCCCGAGTTGTGATTTGTTGGAGGACACAGTGAGCCTAGTGCCCCAATTTGCCCTTCTTTGTTCCGCTACTGAAAACAGGGCCCTTCAGGAGATCAACGATGTTGGCCTATCACAGGGCGTAGCCGGAATGGCTTTGAGGGTGAGTTCTTTATTGCTTTCTTCATTTTACGTCTTCTACTCTTGCTGACTTTTCTTTGTCCTCTTTTCTTTCTTCACACTTTCATTTTGGAGACTGAGAGTATCCGTTGCGAGGAGAGGCGGGCTGCCGTTTTCCAGAAAATGGTTTCAAAGTACTGCCGATATCGTGACAAGTGCCGTGAGATGCATGCACGACTTAGGGAGGGCGGCAATCTTCAGTCCCTTTAGGGAGGAGTTGGAGTGGAAGGACGAGGACCTGGTGCGGTCCATTGGCAGATGCAGCGAACTCGAGGGGCTGCTTAAGGCTAAAGAAGAGGAGCTCGAGATGGGCAAGAGGGTTACGGTTGAGTGCGTTGATCTTCAGGCAAAGGTGGTGGCCTTGCGGGCGGAGCTTGAGCAGAGTCGCCGGTCTGAGTGCTGAATTGGCGGAGAAGGTGACCGAGTTGGAAAGGAAAGCAGCCGAGCTGGAGAGGGCTGAAGGAGCTCAAGTAGCAGCCTTGGCGAGGGCCACGACATTGGAAGATTCTATCCGTGTTCTCAGGTCTGAACGGGCAACTGAAATGGAAATGACCGCTCTAAAGGAGGTGCGGCTTGATGAGCGGATCGGTGGGCTTGAAAGAGATGTCTCGATCCTGGGTGATCAAATTGCCGCTCTCGAGGATGAGAGGGCGCGATTATTGGCTTCGACTCCTCATGCATCCACCTCTGTTGATGTTCCTCGCCATTTGTACGAGATGTGGATCCATGCTGAGGTTCAGCGGGACATATATAAGGTCTTTTTGGCAGCAGGGAATGTTACCGAAGCCGCTTTCGAAGAAGTTCGTGTTAAAGCGCGTGAGGCCCGGCTTGCCTGCGGATATGACCCCACAGCACTGGAGGTCGATGGAGACGATGGGGCTGATGACGGGTTTACCTATGATGATGAACATTTTGATGGAGAGGGTGACGGTGGAGGTGAAGCCGCTGAACCAATCGGGGAGAGAGATGACGGCGTGGATGGGGGTAATGCTGAGTGAAGCTTTTGTACTTAGTTTTTCCTCCTATACTTAGTTTTTTTTGTACTTAGTTGGTTGGGTGACTTAGTTTTTTTTGTACTTAGTTGGTTGGGTGGGGGCCCCTTTTGGCCCTTTGTAAGTTGCTATTTTTTTCCTTTGAATGAAATAGTCGATTCGTCCTTGATTGTATGTCTTTGGCCTTTCCTTCTCTTTTTTTTTTAATTTCTTGGATCTTCTCAGAATAAATCCCTGATTTTTGGTAGTTAATTCGACCGGGGTCGAATTTGACCTGCTAATTCTGGCGAGGTCGAACTTGACTTATTAATTCAAGCGAGGTTAGAGACCTGCTAATTCGAGGTTGAACTTGACTTGTCAATTCGAGCAAAATCGAATTTGACTTTTTAATTCGAGTGAAGTCGAATTTATCTTGCTAGTTTGAGCGAAGTCGCAATTTGACTTGTCAATTCGAGCGAAGTCGAATTTATCTTGCTAATTCGAGCGAAGTAGAATTTTGACTTGTCAATTCGAGAGAAGTCGAATTTGACTTTTCATTTCGAGCGAAGTCGAATTTGACTTATTAATTCGAGCAAAGTCGAATTTGACTTTTCAACTCGAGCGAAGTCGAATTTGACTTTTTAATTCGAGCGAAGTCGAATTTGACTTGTTAACTCGAGCGAAGTCGAATTTGACTTGTTAATTCTAGCGAGGTCGAATTCGACTCTTAATGAATTCGAGCAAGGTCGAATGTACGTTTCTTGTGTTGGCATAATGTGTAAATTCGGTGGAGTTACATAAGAATTCTGTATACTGCTTTGCTTACTCATTCGTTGGAGAAATTTATATATTGTTGTACTGCCTGCACATACATTCGAGTCCCAGTCTCTCTAATCCATTCATTGCCCTGCCTGGAGAGGTAATTGATAGACCGGGCCACATGTCTCGCTCAAGCTTTAGGATGTCTTAATGTTTGTATGAAATCAAAATTTAGCTAGTTGTGTCGTCGCATAGTTGCTTTGGCGAGCACGTGGGTGAGCTTCACACACGTGTTCTGTCTGAACGTTGGAGAGATTCGTATGTTTTCCGGGCTGGTGACCCAGTCCCAGTTTATACAGACTTTTCCCTTTATGGCGTTAAGTACCAACTTGTTGGAGAGATTCGTATATTTTTTGGGCTGGTGACCCAGTCCCAACCTATACAGACTTTTTCCTTTATGGCGTTAAGTACCAACTTTTTGAGGGGGGAGGGGGGGGGGTTCACTCGACCTTTGCCCGCAGGATGATGTGGCGCGGAATGTTTTCTTGGTGTGCTATTTTGATGGCGTTTGTTCCTCGTTTGCGTATCTGGGAGAATGCTCATGTTCCTATCCCAATCTAAAAGAAAAATAACAAGTTAAACCTAAACAAAATCGTTTGTTACCTCGGCATGATTGGTTGGCAAGGGGAGAGGGGCGCTGTAGAACGAATCATTTTGACCCGTACTCGAATGTTGGCTTCAGATCTGATCCCGGCCTCGTGCTTAGCTTCGTCATTAGTCGAATTTGGGCATTTTACGGACTGACAACTTACTTTGCCCATTGGGATCTCGAGTTCGAGTCCCGGTCCGATCCCATCCGGAGTGCATAAAAATAAGAGAAACATAAGTCATAACACAAACATACAGGCAAGACAAGCTTGTTATTTCAAAGAACTACACAACAGGCAATCATCCCTTCATAAGAAAGAGAGAGGGCAGTGTGTATAAGGTATATATTGGTATCTAGCGTTAATATGGCAATAGGATTGCGGACCTGCTCAGTGCATAGTGGCCTTAATCCTGCTCTGACAACTCACACTCACAACGTACCAAGCCCATCACTACAACAAGACGTAGCTTTTGTATAGATATCAAGCATAATTTCGATTTCATGCAAAGATCTGACCTTAGTTAGTTTGGCGATTTCAAGAGCTTGTCCACAAATTTCTCAATTTTGCGTTTGTAACGAGAGGACAAAACTACAAGAAACGGGGAGTGAAACTCTGATTGAGTTTTAATCTAGAGGAAACTAAAACTTTGGCTAGAAAATCCCCACAGACAGCGCCAAATTGTTTGACTAAAAAGTGTTAGGCTTTTTTGTTAAACTAATTAAATAAGAAGATTTGGGACAAATCCTAGCCAAAGATAATTTATCCTAAATCTGAGATAGAAGGTAAGAATAAACAAGCATAGCTGAACGTAAAATTTGATTGCAGTTACGATTGAATTCCATAATGTAAGAAAAAGATGATTGCTCCAATAATATTAAATGATAACAAAGAATACATAAATGAAAGGAGTCACCATTCTTGGATAAGGCAGGCCTTCATACATTTAATATAGTTGAATTGCGGATGAATACAGAGATTCTAAACCCTTTTTTCTTCTTTTTGGCGAGGAGCCTCATATGAGGATACATTTTCATCTTTAGAGATATGTATAATGTGTGTGTGTGTTTTTCCCAGCCCTCCTTCATTTACTCTCTCCCATGATATTTATACAAAGATATTTTCTTTATCTAGCGGTCCTTAACCGGAGTACTTAAGTTCTTGGAATATGCGGTAGAATATTCCTCTAAAATGTCTAAGTGTTGAGCTAGCCGTTCAGGCCGAATCGAGTGCCCAACCTCGGTCGTAGCTGAATCACTCGCCGGTATATTGCTTCTTATACGTGACCTCGGCTTGGTCGACTCTTGGTCGTTCTTCCTTAAGTAAAATTCTTTCGTTCATATTTTGACCTGTACAACTCTATAACTTTATCCATTGCACTAGTTATTTGGTTTAATAATTATATAATTCTCGCATGCAGCATGCGTTATTGAGATTGACCAGCTGATATTAACTATTAGTACTCCCTCTGTTTCAATTTATGTGAATCTGTTTGACTGGGCACGAAGTTTATGAAAAAATAAAGACTTTTAGAATTTGTGGTTCTAAACAAATCAAAAAGGGGTCCAGGATATTTGTGTGGTTATAAAAGCTTCTCATTAAGGGTAGAATTGTAAGTTTAAGCTAAATTGCTTCCAAATTTAGAAAGGGATCATTCTTTTTGGAACGGACCAAAAAGAAAATAAGTTTACATAAATTGAAACGGAAGGAGTAGTATTTACTTCAGAAAGACAGATTGGACCACGTGAATACTGATTATATTAGGTTATTAAAATATTTATTGAAGGCCGAATAGATACACATCCCTATGAACTTGTCACATGCTCCCTATGTTCCAATACATGCGAACCCGTTTAATTGAACATAAAATTTTTAAAAAAAAGCTTTTGAAATATGTAGTATTAAATATACTATAGTATTTGTATGGTTGTAAGACTTTTAAAATTTGGAGTCTTAAAATTTATGATAACATTTGTGTGGCTATAAAAACTTTCGTTAAAATAAAATAAGAAGTTGAAATTAAATTTTTTCCAGATTTGGAAAATAGACATTTTTAAATAACTAAAAAATAAATAGATTCACATAAATTGGAATAGAAGTAGCATTTTGCGTCTGAAATACAGTCACTTTCATTTTTATTAACTGATGATTTGTATTTAATAGACACTATTCACTGATTTCAAATGTTCAATAGATCATTTTCTCATAATTGAGATGTCTAAATAAAAATTTATGACAAAATTTAAGGACATACATAGTACAACATAAGTGGAAGCACCACAATAAACCCCACTGTGTTGGGAAAGTGACAAATCTAGATCTATTGTTTCTTCCCATCATTTGAATTTGGTATCTTCATTACTTGATTACTGATAAATGCCTCCAACTTTTGATCCACTTCTTCAACCTATCATCATTCCAAACAAGAATAAGCACTTGACCAAAATTTATGAAAAATCATCTATCATAGAGAGTAACAAAAGATTTAGAGATCCTAATCATGGCACTAATTATTTAATAATTTATGATCAACGTGATAATCGTCTTGCCGCTCTCTTTTTATTGGGTTCGATGCATCAACAAAAAGACAATTCTAGATCTAATCCAGCTGTCATCTTATATGATATTATAAAATATTTAGACGGATTAGAGATTTGGATCTCATTTCTTAGATAATCAACTTAATTAATTTGTTCCCGAAAAACTAAGGATGTGGACAAAATGATGTAAGAAAACTATTGTTTATTTACTTGCACATTCTCACCTCAACATATGGTAGATGTACCAAAAGATTAACTTTGTTAAAGTAGTATTAAAATAAATACTTAAAAGGAATCGAAACATGCTCTTTTAAAGCTCAATAATTTTTTTTTTGTAATCCGGATAAATTTGTGACACTTAAAATAATTTAATAGTCATTCTGTCTAATCACAAGCATTGCCAAGGTAATCCCGCGATTATTAAAATTGGAGTAGATGAGCTCTCTCGTAAAGTGTTATTGTTCAAATATTAATACAAAATCTTCAAGTTGTTACTCTTATGTCTCAACCACTAAGTTATCTTTACGGAGCGAGATTAGCAATAAAATACACAACTTGTCCAAACTATATTTTTGGGGAAAAGAATTGCTAATTTAAGTTGATGAAAGTTAAAATCGAAGAGAAAAAAAAAACAATAAATAAATACCTTGTCCATTAGGTCTTCGACTAATTGAGCATCATTTTCAGTTTCTTCAGCCAAGTGTTCGATGGACTTCACTATACCTTTAAGCATTCCACCTTCCGGCAGCTTCTCCGCGAATTCCTCCGCCACCTTGTCCACTTCATCCGCAACTTTTCCCACCGCATCCGCCACCGACTCCACCGTCTCCGCCGCAACTGCAACTTGCTCTATGGACGTTGATCCCAAAAATTAAAAAAGAGAAAAAGAAAAAAAAAAAAGAGTAATATATAAAGCAGAAGATATTCTCTTACTTGTTACTGTTAATAATCTTGCTGTTAACAAAGGTACTGTTACACCTAATCCCACAGCCCAACTCATCCTGCAATAACATTTCTGTGTCAAAATTTGTGGGAAATAGGAAAATTACAAGAAAACTGGTAAACACTAAAGAGTAGTCAAAATTTACGTGCATTTTGTTTTTTAAATTCCTTACCAAGAATTTTCACCAGATGGTAAAAAGGGAATAACTCCTGAAAGTAGATCTCCTGTTTCAGGTGTTGCATGGACAACTAAATCCCTACATAACCACAAAAAACTTAGAATCTTACAAGAAAATCAACCACAGGAAAAAAGTAGATATATACTTAATATTGAGTATATTGAGGAAATATTACCTTGGTCTTTTGTTACTTAGTAGTAGACCAGATCTCTGGCAGCTGGTTCTGAGATTTTTAGTTTGACATAAAGGATTAAAGATCGGAGTTTGAGATCCGCTGCATGGATTAAGAATATGGGGATTTCTTGACATATAACAAGGGATAATTAGTGAGAACGCCATGGCTGGTGTAACAAATTAAAGTTAAAGTACTTATAAGAATTCTTTTCTTAAGTTTTTGAAAGATCTATGCTCTATAGATCTACACAGAGAAAGAAATAGTAGCTAAACAGTAGAAGATGAGAAGTCAACAGTGTTGGAAGATGAATATATACATTAATTAGCGCATTAAAGTATTGGTATGTAGGTATAGTAAATGTTCTTACCTTTATATAGAATTTCTTTTTCCATTTTATTTTTGGACTGGAATCTAAAAAGAGGAGTATTGAATACTCCTACTTAATAATTGAAGCCCAACGATTATTTTTAAGACTTAACACGTTTAAATCGAGGGATGTATGGGTCCAAATTTAACCGACCACGGCTGACGACGAGTACGATGATTGCCAGAGCCTCCTTGAATTGATGTCCTGAGGGAGACGACCCTAAGGCAAACCAGAGACTGGACAACCCTTGCAATAATGTGTGCTCATTAGGGGACATTGGGAATATCCCTTCGAATATTCCTTGTATTTTGTCTTTTACAGTTTAGAAGAATTTCTCTCTTAGTATAAAAGGAGGACAATAACCTTGTAACCGGTATTAAAAGCTCTGGAGAGATTCCTATTTATGAATGAAAAGAAACCTCGTGACCCATCCTCTCTTTATCTATCCCTCTTTCTAGAGATTATTATTCTCAGCTAAGATTTACCCCTTCATCTTTAATTGGTTTGTTCAAAAAGGTTTTAATATCTTTTGAGTCAAACAATTTGGCGCCGTCTGTGGGGATTTCTATAGCTGAAATCGTAGTTTTCATCTAGATTCTTGAAAGAAATAATCACTTTTCTTCAGCTCCATAAAAGCCAACGATGGCGGGAAAGGGAGAAGCGAGGCTAAAGGCAATAGAGGCAATAGAGACAAACAACCTCCTGAATTCCCTCAACAAAGTCGGAGGAGAAGATAATGAGAATGCAACACCAAGTGTTACACCTGAGGGGAAGATCTCACCTCCTTCGCATGGGGATCTAACGATCTTGCGCAAGAGGGAAACCTCAACATCCCCAGTAGGAGAAGCGCCACCGGCTGTCAAAAGGCTACTAGAAGAATGGTTAACGAGTACCTTGAGCAACATGTTCGAGAAACCCATTCAGGAAGGTGTCGAAGACTTGCTACCCACAGAAACCGCAACTGCTGCCGATGAGCCAAACGCTACATGAATAGGTAACACCCGTACTGTTGCTGATACAGGCAATGACGCACTCGCGGACATCTTAAAGAAAATGGAAGAGATGGAAAATGAGAGCAAAACACTCCGCGACCAGATGAAGGAACATCAGGAGAGGGTTGATAAAATACCAGGTGCTCCAAAGTTGTTACCAAAACGTGATGTGGGTCGATTCGTCGAACAACCATACAGCGAAGGGGCAGCTCCCCATTCTATTCCAAAGACCTTCAAAATGCCGCCATATTTGAAAATATACAATAGGACCACGGACCCGGAGGATCACTTAATCCATTACGTTATCGTAGTAAAAGGTAATGATCTATCAAAAGAATAGGTACCGTCTGTGCTGCTGAAAAAGTTCGGCGAAACTCTGACGGGGGGAGCATTGACATGGTATTCACAACTACCAGCACGATTGATATCGACATTCGAAGAGATGACAGATAAGTTTGTCACCGCTCACGCTGGAGTGAAAAAGGCTGAGGCTAGGGTCAATTATATCTTTGCCGTCAGGCAAATGACGGACGAGGGACTTTGGGATTTCCTAGCCCGATTCAACAGAGATGAGCCTACCGAATGTGTCAGAAGGGAAGGCAGTAGAAGCCTTCCAAGATGGGTTAAACAGAAACGGAACAAAAACAACCAAAAAACTACTCAGTAGACTCATGAAGTACCCCCCTACCACGTGGAAAGAGATCCACAACGCCTATTGCGCCGAAGTGAGGGCAGATGAGGATGACCTGAACGGCCTGCTTCAACGATTAACATTAGTCCAGACCGAGACAAAGAGAGATCGATGTAACAATGGGCGAAGGGATAAACTGCCACGTTTCAATCGAGAAAGTCATCAACCCTATATTCGAATACCCAATCCGCCTCCTCCATGACATACGGATGTCGCGCCCCGACACACCGCGCCCCTCCGAAACGAAAGAGGTATGCTTCAATTGCTATTTGTTCATAATTTTTGTGTTCCCCTTCAGAGATAGTGTACGCACTGGAAAAGCTTGGCATGAAGGTACAATGGCCGCAAAAGATGAAATCGGATCCGAGCACTAGGAGGTCGAACGTCCTGTGTGAATTCCACCAGGAGAGAGGACACAAGACCGAAGACTGCATAGGTCTGCGACAAGAAGTAGCGAGGATGTTAAACCAGGGATACCTGAAAGAACTGCTGAGCGATAAAGGATGGGCCAACTTCGCTCGTGGGCGCGACCAACCTCAAGGACCTCCAAAGCCACCATCACCAGATCGTACCATACAAATGATCATTGGCAGCGACGACGATACGGTAATCAACCATGTGAAATTCACCACCACACATAAACTCAAACGGACGGTTGCCCACGAACGGTATGACGACCTCGAAGACAATATCATCTTCGATAAGTCGGATACCGACTATTTGTCTTTCCCTCACTATGATGCTTTGGTTATAATTTTACGCATTGCGGATATCGATGTAAAAAGAATAATGGTGGATGACGGAAGCAGCGCGTGTATTGTTCACCCACGAGTTCTCGTGCAAATGAGACTCGAGGATAAACTAATACCGCGTTGCATAACACTAACGGGTTTTAATAATGCAGTGGAGCAAATATATGGAGAAATAGTGCTACCCGTCCTGGCAGGAGGGGTCACCCTAGAAACGATATTCCATGTCATGAATCAGGAAACAGCCTACAACGCCATCATAGGACATCCATGGATACACGCCATGTGGGCCGTCCCGTCAAGTTTTTACCAAGTAATCAAATTTTCCACCCCATGGGGAATATTCAGCATCCGAGGCGAGCCACGCACCGTCCAAGAATGCTACCGGATCGCCCAAGATTGAACACACACCAAACAACTAAAAGGGGCAAGTGCGGAGGCATAGCAATCAGCCATGTCGGGAACCAGACCCGACGTACAAGTAGAAGCCATCAAAGACCCGGACATCATAAAAGCTTACAAGGCAACCGTAGAGGATTTCGATCCCGTCCAGTTGGACAGTATCGATAGCACAAGAAAGGCTTATGTTGGACACAACCTCTCGGAACCAGGTAAATATCGTGAGTTTTTAACTAACAACGCCGATTTGTTTGCCTTTTCCTGCTCAAATATGCTAGGAATCCCAAGGGAGAACGCCGCACACAGGCTGAATGTTGATCCACTTCATCCGGCGGTTCGACAAATAAGGAGAAAGTTCAATGCCGCCATCAATGAGGCAGTCAACGAGGATGTTGATAAATTACTCGCTAACGGTTCAATAAAAGAGTCAAAATACCCCCAATGGGTCACCAATGTGGTCATGGTCAAAAAGAAGAACGGGAAATGGCGGATGTGTGTCGACTTCACTGATCTGAACAAAGCATGCCCAAAGGACTCCTTTCCGTTGCCCCACATCGACCAGCTCATCGATGCGACAGCGGGGCATGAACTGTTGAGCTTTTTGTACGCCTACTCCGATTATAACCAAATTCTAATGGCCAAAGAAGATCAAGAAAAAATAACTTTCATCACTCACCGAGGGACATATAATAATAAGGTAATGTCGTTCGGACTCAAAAATGTAGGATCCACATATCAAAGACTAGTTACCAAAATGTTCAAAGAACAGCTCGGCAATACCATGGAGGTTTACATCGATGACATGCTAGTAAAGTCGACAAAGAGAGAGGAACATATCGGCCATCTGAAGGAGGCCTTCGAGATATTAAGGCAATATGGAATGAAATTGAATCCCGAAAAATGTGTCTTCGGCGTAACTTCGGGAAAGTTCCTTGGTTTCCTAGTGTCACAAAGAGGTATCGAGGTCAATCCAGATCAGATTAGGGGCATCGACATAATACCGGAGATACTGACCAGCAAAAAGCAGGTGCAGAAATTGACAGGACGAGTAGCCGCCCTGTCGAGGTTCATTTCACGGTCCTCAGATAGATGTCACAAATTCTTTAATATGCTAAGGAAATACCACGGACTGCAATGAAATGAAGAGTGTGTCAACGCCGCAAGAAAACTGAAAGCGTATCTATCTTCACCACCACTACTCGTCAAAGCAGACCTAGGAGAATGTCTACTTGTATATCTAGCAGTTTCCGAAGTTGCGGTAAGCGCAGTCTTGGTCTGTGAAAACGAAGGTACGCAATCTCTGATTTACTATATTAGCAAAACCTTAATCGATGCCGAAACTAGGTACCCTCACCTTGAAAAGCTAGCTTTGGCATTAGTCATAGCTTCACGAAAGTTTAGACCCTATTTTCAATGCCACCCCATAAAGGTGGTGACAACCTTCCCCCTAAGAGGGATCCTACACAAACCTGAACTATCGGGTAGACTGGCCAAATGGGCCATAGAATTAAGCAAGCACAACATAACATACCAACCGGGAATTGCCATTAAGTCGCAGGTGCTCGCTGATTTTGTCGCTGATTTTAGTGCAGAAATACTGACTGAAGTAGAACAGGAAGCGCTCTGCGCTTCCACGTATACCGACCAATGGGTCCTCTACACTGATGGTGCCTCTAACGCCTCAGGATCTGGACTAGGACTCGTCCTCGAAGTCCCTACAGGCGAAGTAATTCGATAATCCATACGATGCCCCGAGATGACTAACAACGAGGCCGAGTATGAAGCCGTGATTGTAGGTTTAAAGTTAGCCCTCAAATATGGCGCCCGACAGCTCGTCCTCCATTGTGACTCCCAACTCGTGGTGAACCACATCACTAGGACTTTCCAAATCAAAGAACAGAGACTACAGAAGTACCAGTCGGAAATTCACAAATTACTGCCGGAATTCGATGAATGCTGCCTCGACCAGATACCCAGGGCGCAAAATATCGAAGCAGATGGCCTCGCCAAACTAGCTGCGTCCACCAAAAATATCAACAGGGAAAACGTTGTCACCCTCCTCCATTCCGCAATAGACCATGTCGAGGTACATTCTATAAACCTATCTTGGGACTAGCATAACTGCCTCGTAGCATATTTGCAGGATGGAACACTCCCGCAAGATAAAAAAGAAGCCAAAAAACTCCGGGTACAGGCAGCCCGATACAACCTCATAAACGGTGATCTCTACAAAAGAACGTTCGGCAACCCCCTAGCCAAATGTCTTGGGCCAAATCAAACAAGGTGAGTACTGGAAGAAGTACACGAAGGGCACTGTGGTGCCCACACGAGAAACTGCGCCCTCGTCCGATGCCTCGTCCGTGCCGGATACTACTGGCCCACCATGAAAAAAGAAGCCGCGGACTATGTCAGGAGATGTGAACAGTGTCAGAAGTACGCTCCTATGATATATCAAGAAGGGTAACTCCTTCATTCCGTCACTTCACCATGGCCGTTCATAAAGTGGGAAATGGACATAGTCGGCCCCCTCCCAGCAGGACGAGGTAAGGTACGTTTCCTTTTGGTTTTAACTGATTACTTTTCTAAATGGGTGGAAGCAAGTGCATACACTCAGATACATGAGCAAGAGGTCATCGCGCTCATATGGAAAAACATAATATGCCATTTTGGCATCCCCAAAGAAATCATCTGCGACAATGGACGTCAATTCATCGGAAAAAGAACGATTGAATTTTTCGAAAAATGGCACATCAAACGAATACTCTCCACGCCATATCACCCTGCCGACAATGGTCAAGTCGAGTCCTCCAATAAAGTAATACTGAACATATTGAAAAAGAAGCTTGAGGATGCTAAAGAGCTATGGCCTGAACTACTACCGGAAGTATTATGGGCATACCGCACTACGCCAAAAACCTGCACAGGTGAAATGCCATATTCACTGGTCTACGAGACTGACGCAGTTATACCCGTCGAGGTCAAAGAGCTCAGTTTGAGATACTCCAACGAGAGCGGACCTAACAACGACAAAAGTAGTCTATAAGATCTGGATGAAGTCGAAGAACGGAGAGATATGGCCCACATAAGAATGGTAGCACAGAAGCAACAAGTGGAAAGGTACTACAACAAGAGGACCAAGGTGCGAATGCTCAAAGTCGGAGATTACGTCCTCAAGGCTAAAACACAAGCAACGAAAGACCCTAATGAGGGAAAAATGGGAACAAACTGGGATGGACCATACAAAATCATAGCCACAACAAACAAAGGAGCATTCCAATTAGAAATAATGGAGGGAAAACTACTCCAAAACAACTGGAATGTCGCCCATCTCAAGTACTTCCACTTCTAAAAGAGGGCGTCACCTAAGTCGTACTATTTTTCCCTCACCCGGGTTTTGTCCCAAATCGGGTTTTCCCGGGGAGGTTTTTAATGAGGCGGCAAGGGAGACGCCTCGAGGTTCGAAGTGCTGTTCATTACCCCGACCCGTCCATATGATCTCCAAAGCGAAGTAATAAAGGGACCAGATATAGATAATCGTCTCAATTGTATGTACAGAGTCGTGTGATTCTCACAAGAATATAATCAAATATCCATTGTATATGCAGAGCCGACATGTGACCCTTTACAAGTATATAATCAAAGCTCCATTGCATGAATAAAGTCGATATATCTTCCTACGGGAATACGATCAAATCTCCACAAGAAATGGCCAAGGCCATCGACGAAAACATGAGTTCAACCTCGTTCGAACTACGACGGGATCCTACTTCAATGACAGTTCGAAGCAACATCCTAATGGCCAAGGCCATCGATGAAAACATGAGTTCGACCTCGTTTGAACTACGACGTGATCCTACTTCGACGACAATTCGAAGCAACATCCCAATGGCCAAGGCCATCGACGAAAACATGAGTTCGACCTCGTTCGAACTACGACGGGATCCTACTTTGATGATAGTTCAAAGCAACATCCCAATGGCCAAGGCCATCGACGAAAACATGAGTTCGACCTCATTCGAACTATGATGGGATCCTACTTTGACGACAGTTCAAAGCAACATCCCAATGGCCAAGGCCATCGATGAAAACATTAAACATGAGTTTGACCTCGTTCGAACTACGACGGGAACCTACTTCGACGACAGTTCAAAGCAACATCCCAATGGCCAAGGCCATCGACGAAAATATGAGTTCGACCTCGTTCGAACTACAACAGGATACTATTTCGACGACCGTACAAAGCGACATCCCAATGGCCAAGGCCCTAAAAAAAAGAGGAATCTTCGCCCAAAACCTAAATCGACTTAATAGCTCGACAAGTATCCCCGACATCGTAAATATTACAAAGAAGAGCAAATTGACAAAATATATCTTACATTGCATCAAAATGTTATTTACACTTGTCTTTACAAACGAGCTCAGGTATGCCCCTGCAAAAACCCCAAAAAACAAAAGCAAGTACAAATAAAGACTACACATCATCCCCGGTGGGGTAAGCATCTTCATACCACGAGTCCGAAGCAAGGCGGTTTGCATCATCACAGTTGATGTCATCCCTGTCAGGTATAAGGGGGTCATACCCGCATGCCTCACGAGCTGCACGAGCTTCGGTGTGCACAGCCTGAAGCTTCGCCTCAGTTGCCCTCCCCTCGGCGTGAAAAGCCTTGTACACGTTAAGCCAAGCCTCAGCATGGACCCACAACTCATATAAACGACAAGGCACGACCGGATCGGCTGAGGCGCGAGATGTAGAAGGTTGAGAACGTCGACTTGCATCCTCCGCCCTCAGCAAGGCCACTTGTCTATTTAACGTAGATAGCTCCACCTCTAGTTCTTTGAAATACCCTTCGAGCCCCGCAACCTTACGACTAGGGGCCTCCTTCTCTTCAGCCAGCTCCGACCTGCAAATGCGGAGGGCATTCTCCAAAGATGCGGTTCCAGAAATAGCTGTCGCCAACTTATTAGTACCAACGCTCAGCTCGCCCTTAAGCCCCTCTACCTCCACCGCCTTCGCACTCAACTCAGTGGTCAAATTGGCCCCTTTACCTGCAAGTCGGCATTTTCAGCCATCACCCCTTACTCAACTCAAGCTTGTCATCCTTCACTTTAAGGGAAGCCTCGAGTTCACTATTACGAGCGACAGTTTTCATGAGCTCCTCATCCCGCTCCCTCAACGCTTCGATCTTACGCTCTAGCTGGTCCTCCCACTATTTGAGCCCCTCGCGAAACAACTGAAACTCAGGGTCCTGATGATAAATGTCGGCCATCGCACGATGCTTAGCACGATACTATTGATATTTGGACGACATCTTCTCATAAAGGGCCCGTTCTTCTCCTCTCCCTACGCTCTCGCTCAATCTCCATGACGAGGTTCTGACAAAAAAGGGGAGAAGTTAGAAATAAAATGCAGAATGACGATCACCACAAAAACCCAACGACGAAAAGGGAAGGAAAGGCAGGTCCTGCAAGGCCATACCGGTGACCTTCTGAGACAACTCCATGTCGCTCATCGCCCTAAGCACCTCGTTTTCAGGGGTAACACATAGAGGAGCTAGAGCAGATGCCACTTGCTCACAGTTCAGCAGCAAGTTGTAGTCCCCCGAGACAACTATGTGACGATCAGACCCTTCCGTTCTGACCTCCACATGAGTATGGCGACCTACGAACTCATTAACATCCTCTGGGTCGACATCTGAACCTGAGTCGTCACCCTCAATACGACGTCCTCCGACGTTGGACAACGCACCACCCTCAGCAGAGCGCACTGAGCCAGCTCCTGGGTAAAATCCTTCCACTTGGAGAGATCTCCCGGATAAAATGGTGTTAGCCATAAATGGTGGATAGAAACGTTACATTCCGCCAACTCTGCATACTTGGTCAGCAGCAGAAGTATCTTGAGCATATACGACGAAAGTTGCGCCGGACAAACTTGGTAGAACTGACAGAATTCTTCCGCTAAGGGGAAGAGAGGAAGGGTATAGCCAATCATGAAAGGGTACTCATAGAAAGCGCAGTACCCAGGTCTGTGGACATCTACAAAATCTCTCCCCGCCGGAACCATATCTACATGAGCGGGAATGCCGTACTTTACACGAAGAGCATCAATATGAACTTGCTCCTTCTCAGAGAATACGGGGTCCGGAGTAGGAGGGGGATCTTTAAGGAAGTCACTTCGAGATAAGGGATGTCTCGGCAGTAGCTCATCCACCGTAGGAAGGCTGTCACCCTCTTCTACCATCGTATCTTCATCGCCAGAAGAGGGCGCCATGGACAATGGGGTGGCCTCAGGACCCTCATCACGAGAACAACGAGACCTCGGCATAATATCGTCTAAAGGGGTATCAATACAAAAAGTAGGAGGAGGAAGAAGCTTCGAGTGAAGAACGTAAGAAGAAGCAGAAGGGTATGAGGGCAAGCTCGGAAGAATGAAGGAGGTTATCAAGAGTGGAATGGCCAAAAACTTTCGAAAAAACAAACCCTTCAACTATTTATAGGGTTGGGTGGCGCTAGAATCGAAGCGGAAAGTCACAAAGTAGCACTAAAACCGAAGCATCAAGCCATCAACTCTTGCCTCGAAAACATGCGTGATGATGACGCACGTGAAGATGACATCATTTTCCGGTAAAGCATATTACCTGGTGTCTTGCTAAGCACACTGACATCCTCATTGGCCATTTTGTAACGTCACAACGGCTCAAATTTCTCCATAGAAACGCATGGTGTCCGCTCATCGAAGACGCACCCAGTTGCGACCCCGACAAGCGGAGGACTAATTGTATGGGTCCAAATTTGACCGACCACGACTGACGACGAGTACAATAATTGACGGAGCCTCCTTGAATTGACGTCCTGAGGGAGACGACCCTAAGACAAACCAGAGACTGGACGACCCTTGCAATAATGTGTGGCCATTAGGGGACATTGGGAATATCCCTTCGAATATTCCTTGTATTTTGTCTTTTACAGTTTAGAAGAATTTCTCTCTTAGTATAAAAGGAGAACAATAACCTTGTAACCGATATTAAAAACTCTAGAGAGATTACTATTTATGAATGAAAAGAAACCTCGTGACCCATCCTCTCTTTATATATCGCTCTTTCTAGAGATTATTATTTTCAGCTAAGATTTACTCATTCATATTTAATTGATTTGTTCAAAAAAAATTTAATATCTTTTAAGTCAAACAAGGGACATGGAGTCAAACTACCTTGCCAATGTGTGATACATTCACATTACTGCTGTTTTGGACAAATTAACACTTCAATTTATCATAAATTCACATTATCATTTTTGCACGAATATATTAGTAGTGTCATTTGCACTTATACACAACGTGATAATAGGAGAAGTGGGATTCCATTTCACCAAGAAAAGTTGTAGTACAAAATAGCATTACAAAATAGCTGGGCCACGTGTTTATCCTATTTTTATGCTTTCTTTACCTGCTGAGTACCTTTTGTAACAACTAGTTCCTCTGTCTCAATATATGTGATTATATTGTATTGAGTTTAGAAAGAAAAAGAAAGATTTTTAAAATTTGTAATCTTTAATAAGTTATAAATATTTGTATAATTATAAATCATTTCATTAAAAGTATAATGAATATTTTAAAATTAAATTGTTACAAACTATAAAAATGTATCATTATTTCGAAATTGCCTAAAAAGGAAAACTGTCACAAAAATTGAGACGAATGAAATTTTGTTAATCCATATCATTTAATTGGTGAAGCAATATAATATTACTTCATTATGAAAAAATTAAGTTTTTTTTGAAACTAATATTTTATGTAATGTTATAATATTTGTTCTTTATAATTTTATTATAGTAGTCAAAAATATCCGAAACAAACACGATTGTGATAGAAATATTGGACTCTATTACCTAGAAACTTTTGGCGAAACCGTGGAATTTGTCAGATTTTGTCGTATATCCCTCGCACGATTATTCAGAGTCGCATAATAGTTTGCAAGTCTAGCATGTTTATTTAAAAAGTCTTAACTTAAATACATACTTAGGCATCATTTTTTGCACCAAATATAAATTTGGTATGTTTTTGCTCCAATGGAACACCAAATTTTGTACCATTTTAGTGTGTGAGTAGTGTCACACCATATTCATCAACATCAAATTTAATTTGTTATTATTTTATTCATCTTTTTATTTTTTTGGACTTTTAATTTATCATATATTTTGTATATAATTAATTTTTATATTAATATCTTTATAATTTAATTTTATATCCTATTTTTTATATATTAATTTTTGTATATATTATATTTATATAAAATTATAAGTTAATTTTATTATTATTATTGTATAAAAAGAAATACAACCATTATTTAAAAATGAAAAATGCAAATATAATATATCTAATGTTGGTAAAATTGAAAAGTGAAAACTAAAATTTAAAAAAGAAAATTAACAATACATAAAATTAATAATACATAAAATGCAAATGCAAATGCAAATGCCACTGATGAATATGTCAAAATTGGAGAGTCAAATGCAATTGAAAGCATGAAGAGATTTTGTCGAGCTGTCGTAGAGGTTTTTGGCGATCAGTATTTGAGATCACCAACAACTAACGATGTTGCAAGGCTTCTGTACATCGGTGAACAACGTGATTTTTCAGGAATGCTAGGCAGTATAGATTTCATGCATTGGTGATGGAAAAATTGTCCAACAGCATGGGTTGGACAATATACAGGTCGTAGTGGATCCCCAACATTTATTCTTGAAGCTGTAGCTGATTACGACCTTTGGATATGGCATGCATATTTTGGTATGCCCGGCACCAACAATGACATTAATGTTTTAGAATTATCACGTATATTTTCCAATCTCGCTAATGGTATTGCTCCTCCAGCCCGTTATGTTATTCAAGAAAAAGAATATGACATGAGTTATTGCTAACGCTATATATCCAAAATGGTCTACTATTGTGCAAACTATTTGGGAGCCACGTTCAGCGAAGAAGAAATATTTTGCAATGAAACAAGAATCATGTCGAAAAGATGTTGAACGTGCATTCAGAGTTTTGCAATCTCGTTTTGCAATTGTTGCAGGTCTGTCACGTTTTTGGAGAAAAAATGTCATGACCCGGATTTCCCACCCTCGGGAGTTGTGATGGCGCCTACTAGTGTGAGCTAGGAAAGCCAATCCCTTAAACTAATTACTTCATTATCCACTTATTTCTTGTTAATAAACATAACGTGATAACGTATAAACAACGGAAATTTAAATTAAGTGGAAGAAAACAATAAATATCTGAAATCTACATCTATTACAACTGCTTAAGCCTTACTCACCCAAAACCTAGTGTCACAGTGTCACAGACGGTCTAAGATTGCTACATACAAAGTCTGAAGAAATAACAGTACACATGTTTCTGAAGTAAGGAAAATGAAACAGGGAATAAGGGATGGAGGGAGACGCCAGGGCCTGTGAACGCCTGCAGGTGTCTCAGCCTGGACTGAAGGTAGCCTCCAAACTACAATCCAAGAGCTTCTCCGGGATCTACACATAGTGCAGAGTGTAGTATCAGCACAACCGACCTTATGTGCTGGTAAGTGCCTAGCCTAACCTCGGTGAAGTAGTGACGAGACTAGGGCCAGACTACCAAATAGACCTGTGCAATTCAAATATATATAGCGGAAAAGAAGTATAGAAATAAACAGTCAAGTATGGGAGGGGCAGCATGCTGCGGGGGAAAATATCAATTCCGAATAGAAATACAACAAGTAAATGAAAGAAACAATATAACTCGGATATCATCAAGGAATCAGCATCAATAAATGCATGGCATCACCCTTCGTGCTTTTACTCTCGTCCTCACCAAAGCAATCATATAGTAATAATGTGCACGACATCACCCTTCGTGCTTTTACTCTCGTCCTCACCAAAGCAATCATATAGTAATAATGTGCACGACATCACCCTTCGTGCTTTTACTCTTTTTTCTCACCATATAATCAATATAATTGGCACGGAATGGTACATCGTGCGGCATGACATCACCCTTCGTGCTTTACACTATTTCCTCACCAATCATACACGACATCACCCTTCGTGCTTTAACTCTCTTCCTCACCCAAACAACAATCACAAACAATAGGGAAAGGAAAATAATTGAAATTTGCAATAATAATCCCGGCAAGGGAACAATAGTCAACAACAAGTCCCGGCAAGGGACAACATCAATAACATCAACATTCCGGCAAGGGAGATAACAAATAAAGTAACAATAGCCCGGTAAGGGGGGCAACATAATGATCTCTTCTCTTTCTCACTTTACTTCACAACTCGATCCAATGCTCTAAAGGTTCAATTATCACTTATACTTTCACAATTCGTTACACAACTTGAGCCAACGCTCCTCAATATTCATAGGTCACAATTTCTTCCACAAACTTTACACAACCAATAGAAACCATCACCAAGGCATAAAAGATACAACGAAGTCATGATAATCACAATATAAGACTCACGGGCATGCTAGACACCAACGTATAGATACTCGTCACCATGCCTATACGTCGTACTCAACAATTACCACACAACAAATAGGACTCGACTCCTAATACCCCAAGCTAAGGTTAGACCAAACACTTACATCGATGCCACGAACACAATTCACGATTCAATTATAGCTTTACCCCTTGATTCCACCACCAATTTGCTCGTATCTGGTAATAAGTTACTTAATTATATCAATAAACACTAAATGAATCAATTTGATTGCATCAAAATGAATTTCCCAAAGTTTCACCCAAAAAGTCAAAAATTGCCCCCGGGACACATGGTCAAAACCCGAGGTTCGAACCAAAATCCGATTACCCATTCCCCCACGAAACCAAATATGTAATTTGTTTTGAAATCGAACCTCAAATCGAGGTCCGAATCCCCAATTTTTGAAAAACCTAGGTTCTACCCAAAACACCCCAATTTCCCCCATGAAAATTATTGATTTTTGCGTTGAAATCATGTTAAAAGATGTTAATGATTGAAGGAAATGAGTTAAAATTAACTTACAATCAATTTGGAAGAAGAGTTGTTCTTAAAAAATCGCCCTAGGGAGTTTGTATTTGAAAAGATGTGAAAATGGGTTAAAAATTCGTCTAAGTATAAAAGTTGCAGGATGCAGATGTGGGAATTGCGAACAGGGGCGCTAGCTTGGGAATTGCGAAGGGAGGCTCACATTTGCGACCTTAGGCACCAAAGGAGAACTTCGCATTTGCGAAGCAGGCGTCGCATTTGCGGCTGGGCCTTCCGCATTTGCGAGACAAATGGTCGCATTTGCGATCAGGCCTGCCCAGGTCCTTGTTTTGCATTTGCGATGGAAGTTTCGCATTTGCGAAGCCTGCAGACTTAATACACCAGATGAGAAATCTGCAATTTTCTAAGTTCAAAATGCACCCCGTAGCCTATCCAAAACTCACCCGAGCCCTCAGGGCTCCAAACCAAACATACACACAATCTCAAAAACATACTACGGACTTATTCGTGTAATCAAATCACCAAAATAACATCATGAACATCGAATTAAACCTCAAAACCAATGAAATTTCTCAAAACTTCTTTAAACACCAAATTTTGCATTTAAGGTCCGAATCACGTCAAATGGATTCCGTTTCTTACCAAACTCTACAGAATTATCTTAAATCATATATAAGACCTGTACCGGATGCCGGAACCAAAATACGGGCCGAATACCATCACGTTCTAATCACAATTTATTTCCAAATCTCTTAAATAATTTCAGAAAACAATTTCTTTCAAAAATTCATTTCTCGGGCTTGGGACCTCGGAATTCAATTTCGGGCATACGCCCAAGTCCCATACTTTCCTACGGACCCTCCGGGACCATCAAATCACGAGTCCGGTTTCGTTTACCAAAAACGTTGACCGAAGTCAAATTAATTTATTTTATAGTCAAAATTTATCAATTTTCATAGATTTTCACATATAGGCTTTCCGGCTACGCGCCCAGACTACACACACAAATCGAGATGATACTAAAAGAGGGCTTTAAGGCCTCGGAATGCATAATTTCCTTTTAAAACAAGTACATTCTCCACCTCTAAAATAACTGTTCGTCCTCGAACAGACAGAAGAAGGAAGTACCTGAGTCGGGGAAAAGATAGGGATAACGGCTCCGCATATCGGACTCGGACTCCCAGGTCGATGCCTCAGCAGGCTGACCTCTCCACTGAACACGAACAAAAAGAAAACTCTTCGATCTCAACTGACGAACCTGCCGGTCTAAAATAGCTACCGGCTCCTCCTCATAAGACAAGTCCTTGTCCAACTGGGCAGTGCTAAAATCTAACACGTGGGATGGATCGCCGTGATATTTCCGAAGCATGGTGTCACCACTCCGGTTCGCCCTCCGTGAACCATCGTGATGGCACCTAGTCTCTATGACTAGGTAAGCCTAAATTGCGGAAGATAACCAAAACTTGCGGAAGTAAACAATTTAAAAAAAGAAATAAGGCAATAACAGTGTTTAAATGTGCCGCTCGGCATACACCATATATAAATCTCAAAACCAATATCCAAATCCAAGACCCGGAAACCCACGAATCACAAGCTAAGAAAGGAAATACTACATAGCTCTAACTCCGGAATGTGTCTAATAAGAATAGAAAGTACAGAAGGGCTAAATACTAAAAGGCAGGAATAGAAAGGGACTCCTCCGTCTGCGGACGCGACAGATGTACCTCGAAGTCTCTAAGTAGTCTCCTCCCTCAAGGATGGTAGGCCTGAGTAGAAGTACCTGGATCTGCACATGAAAAACATGTGCAGAAGAGGCATGAGTACACCACAGCGGTACTCAGCAAGTGCCAAGACTAACCTCGGTTGGGTAGTGACGAGGAAGGTCAGGGCCCTACTGAGATTAAATAAAATATAAAGATGATAGGATAAGATAAGCAGTACAATTGAGAATCTATAGTAAGAACCTACACAGGATAATAAGAGTACAATAACGGAAAGAGAGATGAAGGCAACCACAAGGAAAGTAACCAGGGAGCTCTCAGTATCCCGAGGATCTCTTAGTACCCTCAATATATGCCGGGGATCTCTTGGTATCACGAGGATCTCTCGGTATCCTCAATATATGCTAGGGATCTCTCGGTATCCCGAGGATCTCTTGGTATCCTCAATATATGCTAGGGATCGCTCGGTATCCCGAGGATCTCTTGGTATCCTCAATATACGTGGGGATCTCTTGGTATCCCGAGGATGTCTTGGTATCCTCAATATATGCTAGGGATCTCTTGGTATCCCGCACCTCAGTCCAGATCATAAATACGTACAAGGGATTTCCTGGGATGTCGTCCCGTAGTTCCAAATTTAAAAACACACAGAAGCAACACAAGAATACTCAATTAAATACTAATTTCGTACCAAGTAAACAATTAATTCTAGCCTAACATGCTTCACATAATGCAATTAAATCAGTTTAAGCAAATAGGAAATTAAGTCAACTAAACATGCTTTTCTAAACTATAACAGGCTAAATTTGCAAGTAGAATAAAACAGGAAAAAACAAGAACTCAATTGAAGTACTTAAAGTAAAATCGGATTTTCAACAATTAGCTCAAGTACGAACTCGTCACCTCACGTACAAGGCATTTCAATTATCAAATATATCATATCTTAAGGGAAAGGTCTCCCAAACATGGTTAGACAAGTCACTTACCTCAAACCCATTCAAAAATTAACCCGACACCACGTCTTTGTCACGAGTACTCGACTTCAAATGGCCCAACTTTTCAATTCAATTGCATAATATAAATAACACTTCAAGTAACTGATTCTACAAAGAAATTCTAAGCTAATACACAAAATTAGGTAAAATGACCAAAATGCCCCTCGGGCCCGCATCTCGGAATCGGGTGAAATTTATAGTT